CATGAGAATAGTTTTGAGGTTGCGTTACGAATGCTGTCACAGCATATTTGGGCCTCAGGCTATGCCGAACATTAAAAACATTAATTGACCATCTTGTTTCGACCCTTCTTGTTCGCGCAGCCCATCCTTTTCTGATTAGTGCAATTTAGTTTGAATAAGAAAATAGCAATTGGAAGCTTATGATATTTTATGAAATTTTCCATTGGTTGTTTAGCAAGATTATTTCTGAATTCAAAATCAGTCCCTTCAACATTATCATCATACAATGTTTAGCAAGATTATTTCTGAATTCAAAATCAGTCCCTTCACGACACGGCTCAACCAAGGAAGAAGAAACGTGATGCTTTGATATTTACCAAAACTGCTAAAATTCTTATAATGTCTCATATTTCATCTTTTTTAAAAAGGAAAAAACTTAGTCCAGTCGCTGGCCCCTATTTTTTGCTCCGCTTTAAATTTTGTCGCCAAAATTTAAAGAGGAGGAAAGAATAGGGGCCAGCGACTGGACTAGAAAAAACTCTAATAAGTGCCACTTGCGCTAACTTTCCTCATAGATTAAGCTAAAATTAATAAATCATTGATCGAAAACCTTTCAAAACCTTTTCAGACATCTTGAGTAATTGAATATATTCAATCTTGAATTTTTTTTAAAAGAAGGTTTTATTTCAACGTCAATAACATCTAGTTCTAGAAAATATTTCTTAATCTAGGTCGATAAATATTTATGTGGAAATGTCTCCTTTTTAATGTTTGAAACTTTTTTGATGCGAAAAATAGGAATGTAATCAGCGTATAGTCTAAAAGYTTCAAACTACTTTGTGAATTATTTCTAGAAAGCTCTGCCGATCAAACTAGCAACTGCGAACGTTAATAATACACCAGTATCCTAGAAACGAGACTGTTTGATGAATTTATAGAATAAATAATACGGTAACGAACTTCAATGAACTCAGCGTCAAATGACATGAACTGAAATAACAAGGGCAGATGTTAGAGATATGGTGCTTTTCCGTGCATTTTTTATTTTCCTGATAACCACTTTATAATTAATATACTTTTTCTAATTCTATTTGAATATTATTGCGAATTGAAATGTTTCTGAAAAGAAATATCAAGATCAGAATAAACAACATTATGACGTCATATTTTCATTGCCATAGGGAGTTCCGCTGACCGAGTACTAGCTGCCAACGATACACAGTRAATCCTGTATGTTAAGTTTAACTATTTTAAGGACGGCTTCAAACGTCCTTTTTTCGTCATAAAAGATATATARCACTTTAAAGTGTTTGTATGAAGGTAGGCCCCTGCGGTACCCATATCTAAAGCCGTAAAAAWTCTAYTTTTCGCGCCGGAATYATATATTTCCGTGACAGARTGTAGCTTGTAATAATTTTGTTTCTAACTGATAGAATACAATTCTTATTGCCTTAATTGTCTGGAAACTTCATCTGTTTTCAAGACTTCACTAAACTTTTCTTTATTTCAAAAAACACAAATCTAGGTTATTTAGTCTTTTGAAATATTATCACTACTCGGTTTAATTAGTATGATCTTGTGTCGGCACTTTTGAAAACTCTTATTACTATGAATTTTATGTATATTAATTTCTTAATAAACGTTACATCTATCTATCTATTATCTATCTTGATGAGCATGAAATTATTTCGTAAATAATTTTTAACATCTATAAAAAGTTTTAAAACAAACTTCTTCGGAAATCACCGTTGAAGGTTAAGTATGCTCATATTATCACACACCAATATAGGTTCCAAGCTTTCTAATCATTTCTACTTAGGCGAGCGTCACATTTATGAATRCCTCTTGTTGAAACATCAATAAATGAATAAMTAAGCAATCATTAGGCATATCAATGACAAAGCCGTGGGAGGCGTTAATCGAAAATTCTCGAAAAATACGGGTCGTTAGGCTGATTATGTGACTAAGTGTCAGTGAAGCTGTTGTGTTTACAAACCTGGTACAATGTTTTCTTGCAAGATTTTGATCATCTTTCTTCGCGTCTTGATTTCTGGTAAGAATAGTTAAAGACTTAATATGGTAACATATTCTTCAAAATAATGAATGTAAATTCCCTGTTTTGAAAACAGAAAAAAGTGCTGTGTTGGAAACGAGGGATAGTTTTCATATCGTGATATACACCTTTTTGCATTGTATTTTGACAAACTTACTTCGGGATCTCAAATAGGCGAAAAAAATGCATGGGTCATGCTGTAATGCTTAAGAACATTTAAGATATAAACATCTATAGGGTATCCGGATTAGCTCGATGACTACCACAAGAGAGACCTGGAAGTTGATAAAAGTTTGAACATATTTGTTTTGATTCATATTGTACGTCTGTAAATACGTTGTAGCGTCTTCATGGATAAAAATAATATTGATATCAGTTCGTGGGGATTTCTATTGAAAAACTTAAGAAGGGATTGACAAAGCGATATGCTCTGACTGCTGTGAAGCAGAGATTCCATAGCAAGATATACAATCCGATTTTTTTTTTGCAAGTAGTTCTGCCTTATAAAATGAAAACTTATAACGAATGGAAATATCTCAAGTAAAGATATGTATTATTTTCTAAGAAAAGCCGGTCACATATGGGTAAGAATATACAGACAGCTATAAAATTTCATTTAAAGTGGATTTACGTTTTATTCCCCAAAACAACGGAAGTTCAGAACTTTATTTTCAAAGATTACTCATCCTAATGAACTCATAAAAGCAGAATAGAACAAAACATAACGATTGATATTGTTATTGTTATTGAGTGGGATCTTTGACA